GAAGTGGGGGCAGAAACAGAAGAGGGAGGGGAATAGCTATAAAAGGGAACATGAGGACCCTCGTGGTGATGGGCACGTCCTTTCTTGATTGTGGCAAAGGGTTCGCGAAACACACACGTGAAAAAAATCAGAGACGCGAATCAGTACACATCTGGGGAGGTCCGGATAAGACCAGCGGATTGTGTCAAGGTCCGAACCCTGGCTGTGATGCGGTGCTATGGGTTTTCGGGATGGTAACATTGGGGGAAACTGAGTAAAGAGTACCTGGAATGTTCTGTATTATTTCTTACAACTTCATGTGAATCTACAATGATCTCAGAATAAAACGTTTGCTTTACAAAATAAGAAACCGGAAAATTGATTCCAGATCCACACCTTCCCTCTCCTTCTGGATTCTTTTCCAATCCCTGGTCAAAAGAACGTGGGTGAGACTCTAGCCTTAGGCCCTGCCACCAGCCTTTTGTAATCCCAAGAATGTGCTGCTCAGAGCACAACCTGGAGGAAGCGGAATTAAAAATAAGAATAATTTATGGGCCACCTGGTGGCTTAGTGGGTTAAACATCCAACTCGATTTCTGCTTGGGTCATGATCTCACGGTTCATGGGTTCAAGTCCAGCATTGGGCTCTGTGCTGACAGTGCAGAACCCCCACCTGGGATTCTCTCTCTCTCTCTCTTCCTCTCTCTCTGCCCATCTCCTGCTCATGCCCTTTCTCTCTAAATAAACATTAAAAACAAACAAAAAACCAGGAGTGATTTAGCCCATCCAGTGAAGCCAGTAACCCGATACACATCCCCTCCCCCTGCTCTGAAATTGAACCATGGGGATGTGAAGCCAGTTGTGGGACTTGACATTGCTAGTTACCAAATGGTGGGATAAATGAGAATTTGGGGTGAGGAATTCAAAAGTCCAAATGAACCCCAGGGGAAGAACAATCCTTTCTGGAAACTGTTGTTAAATTCAATTTTTATTTTTCCCCCACATTCAAATGATCAACCATACTTTCCTTTTTAAAAATAGATTTTATTTTTTAAAGCTTATTCATTTTTAAGGGGGGTTGGGACAGAGTGAAGGAGAGAACTCCAGGCAAGCCCCCGAACTTGTCAGCGCTGAGCCCGATGTGGGGCTTGAACTCACGAACCACGAGATCATAACCTCACCTGAGATCAAGAGTTGGGACACTTAACTGACTGAGCCATCCAGGCGACCCGGACCATAAATACTTTTCTTCAGCAACAGGAACTCTCCGACTTGAGAATATAGAGTTGGGGGGGGGGGGGGGGGGGGGGGGCCGCACTCTTTTTCCTAAACTTCAGTGTCCAAAAGCTCAAATGCTATCAGTTCATAGACACATTTGTAAGGACTTCAAAATAGAATACTAACTTTCCTCCAGCAGATCTTTATAAATGTCTCGTCCTACTCAAAGTTAGCGAAAGCGTAATTTTTCAAAAAACTTCGCATCTATTGGAGAGTCCAAATTTCAAAAATGGTGTCATTGGTAAAGGGGACTGAGAAAGAAGGGCCATGATCTATTAAGAGCACGGCACCACACGCTTTCTCCATTTGCACCCACGCGTCTTGGGGGGAGTCTTCAGCTCCAGCTGTCTGCCACGAAGACCACGTTTCAAAGGAAACTGCATTTAGAATCAGAACTTCAAATTTCTGTATCACAAAGTTATCGAATCAAGATTAACAAAAAAACAGTGAAGCATATTCACACCATTGCTTCGAAAAGAATTTGTTACCAAACACAATAAATTAGCGAGACCAGAGTTTGGACCATGACTAAATTTCTTTTCAATTTTTTTTTTATTTCATCTCTGGCTCAGCTTAACATTTTTTCTATTTTGAGGGGTATTTTATGATGTACATAACACATGAGTAAAGAAGTGCATTTACAGAATTATGACATAAATAAGCACACAGGTACTTGGGTGCAAGTTCCAAAACTGTTACTAACAGTGGAGGTTCCAGCAAGAACGTGGACTCCAGGGGCGCCCGGGGGGCTCTGTTGACCAAGCCTCCCGACTGGGCTCAGGTCATGATCTCACAGTTGGTGAGTTCGAGCGCCACATCCAGCTCTGCGCTGAGGGCTCGGAGCCTGGATCTGCTTCAGATTCTGTGTCTCCCTCCCTCTCTGCCCCTCCCCTGCTCAAACTCTGTCTCTCTTTCTCAAAAATAAACATTAAAAACAAATTTTTTTTTTTTTTA